CAAAGAAACGCATCTGAAGGGTTGTGTTAATTTCGGGTTCTTTCATTTTTGGTTCCTATAAAAAAATTATACAATAAGAATTTGTGAGGACACAAATGGAAACTGTACATGCAAACTCGGGATAATATCCAGAAATGATTCTTGTAAGAAAAATAAGATGGCACAGATGGGAGTCCTGCCTTTTGCTTATGACTTTGCCTAGCAGGATTCTTTCCTTCCCTTCCCTTTTCTCCCCTTCCTCCTTCCCCACTTTACTCATTCCCTCCCTCACCTTTCTTCCATTAGACAGGGTCTCACTCTGTATCCCAGGCTGGCCTTTAACTTGTGGTAATTCTGCCTCAGCCTCTTCCTTCCAAGTGCTGGATTGCAGTCTTGAATGACCATGCCTGACTACCTAACATGATTGTATAAGCACATTTGCTCAAGTGGGAAACAAACAGGGAGAACCACCAATACTCAAGGCTGACTTCACCAAGAAAGAGAATCTTAGACTGGGTCAAGAAGGGAGCTTAGAACAGTGAATCAAAATGTAATACCTAGGTATTTTCTAATGAACAACGCTGACAGAATTAAAGCAGGAGTCTGAGCGTTTTCGGAATGGTAGAAAAACCTGGAAGACACTTATCTTTCCTAATAAAACAATGAGAGCTCAGGGGCTGAAGAGATGGCTCAGCAGTTAAGAACACTGGTTGTTCTTGCAGAAGACCTGGGTTCGAATCCCAGTACCCACATGGCAGCTAACAACTGTCCGTAACTCTAGTCCCAGGGGACCCGACAGCCTTTTCTGTCCTCTGTGGGCACTGCATAACACGGGTGCACTGACCTACATACAGGCAATACATGCATACACATAAAATAAAAATAAAAAAAATTAAAAAAAATGAGAGCTCAATTAAAGGTATATGAATGATACATGATTAACAAATTTTTCCTTCTTCAATTTTTAAATTAAACAAACAGCAAAAGGGCTACAAATTTAATATTTTGAGAAAGAGCAGGCAGAGAAACAATCACTAGATAAGGGAACACAGTGGTGCTCATTCCTACCCTACTTCTCAGAAGCAGAGAGCCTAAAGTACAGCACTGAGAGAAGCTTATTGATTCAATATTCAGTTCAGCGGGAAGTAGATTACTGGAGTGAGAAGACATCCCTGAGAAGAGGGGCATCCCTGTCCCTCAGAGATTTCCACACAGCTTGGTGGAACTTGAGCAGTTGAGGAAAAGCAATGGGTACACAGTCTCCCATGGTACTGTGTCAAATTGAGGGACTAAGGAGAAGCTGGTAGGGTGGGGCATGCCTTGAGGGCTGGAGTGGACTGTGGTCTAGGATATTTATAGAGTCACAGACAGAAAAGACTGTAGCCCCAGTAAGGGCTACATTGGTGTTTTCTACTTCTTGAAAGAGTGCCTTTGGGAGTCCTTCCTCCCTTTCCCTTCAGTCTACAGAATGGTGGGTCAAAATGTAATACCACAGACCAGGGGAAAGAAATCAATTCCAAATAAGGTAAAAAGGCATTGAGGAGAACCTTGTGTTCTACCAGAGCAAAGAGGAGGTCTGTACAGAGCATGAGCATAAGGAAAAGATAAGGCAAGAGAGCTTCACCAAGGGCACTGCAGCAAGAAACAGACAAGAACAAGTTAGGCACAAAACACCCAGTCTAGAAGAACATAGCCCAGGAAGAAATGTATCTTCCCCATGAGTCTTCTTTCCTTCTTTTAAAAAAATATATTTTGTGTTTTGCTTGCATGTAAGTGCACCTGTGTCATGCGATGCCTGCAGAGACCAGAAGACGTCGTTGGATCCCTAACTGGAGTTACAGACTGGTAGTTAGTTGTCATGTGGTGCTGGGAGCTGAACACTGGGTCCTCTGTAAGAGCAGTTAGTGCTTTTAACTGCTAGTCATCTCTCCAGCCCCTCTTTTCTTTCTTTTTAAGATCTTTGAGAAAATTGTATGTGCTGGATAGCTTTAGTTGTCAACTTGACATACCTGGGTAGAGGGAGCCTCGATTGATGAATTGCCTTCATTGGACTGGCCTGTGGCTATGTTTGTGGGGCATCTTCTTGATTATTGAGTGATGTGGGAGGGCCCAGCCCACTGTGGGTGGTGCCACCCCTGGGCAGGTGGGCCTGTGTTATATAAGAAAGCAGGGTGAGCAGGGGCCAGTGGAGCAAGTCAGTAAGCAGCGTTCCTCCATGGTCTGTGCTCCAGCTTCTACCTACCTTGGGCTCCCTCAGTGATGAACCGTGACCCAGGAGATGTAAACCGAATTAAACCCTTTCCTCCCCAAGTTGGTATTGGTCAGAGTGTTTTGTCACAGCAATGGAGAAACAAACTAGAACATTGTAGATTCACATCTACAACTTTAAATAATACAAGAGGACCCCCTGTACCCTTTGCTCCACTTCCTTCAACAGGGACATCTTGAAAACAATAGTATGATCCTACAACTTGTCAACAGATACTTCTTCCATCACAAAGCTCCTTCAAGTTGCTTTTATAATCACCCCAACTTTCACTTTCTTCTTAGCCTTTGGAAATCATTAATCAATTATCCATATCTATAATTTTGTTATTTCAAAAATGCTGTAAGTGGAGTCATTCAAAATGCTACACTGAGTACTGGCATTCTTTCTGTCTCAGCATATTTCTCTGGAGATCCATTCAGTCTGCTGCTGTATGAATAGTTTTTTTTTTAACTGCGAGGAATAGTAATACTTCATGATATGCATTACCACACTTTAACCACTCACCTGTGGAAGAACATTTGCAGTGTTTCAGTTTGGGATTCATGCACAGGTTTTTACATGAACACAGCCTCTCATTTCTCTGGGATAGAAGCCCAGGAACACAATGATTGTTTTCTAGAATGGAAGCACCATTTGGAAGAATGACCTAGTTTCTCTTCATCTTTGCAATCACTTGGTGTTGTCAGCATTTTAGAACTGTAGTTATTTGGATAGGACAGGATATTTCACAATAGTTTTAATTTGCTTTGCCCTAATAGCTAATAGACTAAGTGTCTTTTCATGTCTTTCTTGGCCATCTGTCCATTCATCTTCTTTGGAGAAATGTCTATTTATGACCTTTGCTCAGTTTTGTATTTTGGTGTTGAATAATGAGTTTTTAATATATTCTGATAGGAGAACCTAATCAGATATGTGACTTGCGAGTATCTTCCCCCATTCCTAATATATTTGGGAGCCACCCCAGGATGGATCTTGGGACTGTGGGAGAAGCTACCAAGCCCAGACTGCAAAGCTCAGTGTGGCCAGCAGAGGCCAGTGGTATGCAAAGAGAAGCTGCTCAAGGAGACAGCTGTGGAAGAATCTGGTGGACTGCATAGTTCAGTGCAGGCTGAGCACCAGAATCAACCGAGAGAAGACATTACACAGGCTCTAGAGACCCACATCCACCCAGCGGACTTCAACTTTAGAGGATCCAGAGAACTCTAATACTTCCAGCTATATATATATATATATTTTTGGGCCCTGTGTGTTCTCTTTTTGTGTTTAGTATACTTTTAATAGTATTTTGACTTTATCTTGCTTAAAAATATATTTTTTTTGTCTTTTCTTGAGACAGGGTCTCCTTGTAGCCCCAGCTGTCCTAGAACTCACTATGTAGACCAGGCTGGCCTCGAACTCACAAAGATCCACCTGCCTCTGCCTCCCAAGTGCTGGGATTAAAGGCATGCACCACTATGCCTGGCCATATTTTTTTATTTTTATTTTATGTATATGAATGTATTGCCTGCACGTATGTAAGTGCACCTGTGTCATGCAATGCCTGCAGAGGTCAGAAGTGGGCATTGGATCACCTGGAACTGGTTCTGGAAGGTTGTTAGCAGTCATGTGGGTGCTGGAATCGAACCTGGGTCCTCTGCAAGGGCATAATGTGCTCTTAACTGATGAAACATCTCTAGCCCTGACTTTATCTTACTTTTTAAAGAAAGCTTTTAATTTTTTTCATTTTCTCATTTTTATTCACTCCTGAATTCCAGGTCATGATATGGTGCCATAGAGACTTAGCATGAGTCTTCCCACCCCAATTAACCTAATCTAGAAATTCCTGTACATATTTGTTTCTAGATTCTATCAAGTTCAGTCTATTAACCATCATAACTTCACCCCTTGTTAACTTGACACCTAAACATATCACTTTAGTTCATGGTGTCCAACAAAGCCCCCAAAGTACCAATTTTCATCTCACAATGTAAAATTCAACTGTTCATCTCTGAAATTCCCCATAGTCCTAAAAAGTCACAACACTGTAAAAACTCCAAAGTCTCTTCTGGTCCCCAATGTATAATCTCAACTGAGTCATTATAATATTACAAACAAGTTACATACAAACAAACAATGGCACACAGTGAACATTCCAATTCCAAAGGGACGATGGGGGCATACCAAGGAAATCTTGAACCAGAACAAGACTGAGACCCAGCAGGGCAAACACACATCCTCTGGCTCCTTATGCTACATCCAGGCTGTGAAGGCTTTTACTTTATTTCCCTTCTCACATTTAGCTAATGTTGTTTTCAGTTTTTTTCATTAGTGGACAATTTTTTTTCCTCCCCTCTTGTGCTTTCCTCTTCTTCATAACACCCTTATCTACACTTCTCCCGGTGCTGTCCTCTGTCCCCTCTATCTCACTTATCTAAATTGTATTTATTTCTGTGTGTGTGTGTGTGTGTGTGCGCGTGCGCACGTGTGTGTATGTATGTGTGTGTGCAGTACATATGTGGAGGTCAGAGGACAACTTGCAGGAGTCAGTTCTCTCTACCATGTTGGTCCCAGGGACTGAACTCAGGTCATCAGGCTTTTTGGCAAACACTATTACCCACTCAGCCGTCTGACTGGCCCCCTTACCCTAATAATTTTTTTTAAAGTTTAAAAAAAATTTTATTTTATGTGTATGTACGTATTGCCTGCATGCAGGTAAGTGCACTCATGTCGTGCAATGCCCACAGAGGACAGAAGAGGCTGTTGGATCCCCTGGGACTGGAGTTATGGACAGTTGTTAGCTGCCATGTGGGTGCTGGGATTCAAAACCA